TATCCTAGCATCAGATTTATGCATGAAAATTAAGCGTGCACTCTCAACCAACATACACAAATCAGTTTTAATTCAAATGGATAAGTAAATTGAATTCACAACTTATGAATCACAACTGAAAGTAATCAAATCATATTGCAAGCATGAACATGGTTTCGAATTCCCCCTAGCTAAGGGGGGTTTAGGTCCTCATACTCACAAAGCAAAGATAAACAAATTTAGACATTGAAAACAAAAGAATGAAAACACCTAAAAACGCTCCAACAATCCAACTTGAATGGCAAGCACGTCTAAGGGTCCTCCTTCTTCTCTTTGTTGCGGCACAAGTGTCTAGGATGTGTATGGATATATGGAAAGGTTAGGAATATATTTAGGATTGGTGAATGTCTCGGCCAAGGGAAGGAAAATGTATTTGTGTTTGTGAAATGTGGGATTTATGGATGTATGGATGGAATGGATCTCATGGCATGGAAAATGGAAGTGTATGGAGATGTGTTTGAATGTATGGATGAAATGGAATGGAGCTCACGGCAAGGGACTTGTGTTTGTGAATGAAGCTCTTTTTTGATGGATCAAGATCCTCCCCTTTTGTTATGGTGAAGGGTGGATGTATTTATAGGCTAGGGAGAGGACCACCATCTAATTAAGGTGGTAGTGGTGTATGTTGTGGTAATGAGTGGATGTAATGGGTGTAGTGGGTGAGTGTTTGGTAATGAGTGGATGTAATGGGTGTAGTGGATGGATGTTTAGTAATGAGTGGGTTGTGGTAATGAGTGGATGTAATGGGTGTAGTGGATGAGTGTTTGGTAATAAGTGGATGTAATGGGTGTAGTGGATGAGTGTTTGTAGTTGTAGGTCAACACGCTTGCAATCACACATGCTGATTTCTAGCCTTCTAATCTTCACAAACGTCCATCCTCATGTCTCCATGCTTGCACCATCCAATCTTGGCCCAAAAATGCTCCTAAATGCTCCAAATAGCACTTTGTTGCCAACTTTATTATTTGAACCTACAAACACACGAAAATAGCTTAAAATACATAATTAACTAAGAAATAACAACACAAATGCACAAGAACAAGCTAACTAAGTCGCATAAATATGCTCCTTTCAGACACAAGGAGAAGGAGAACAATTAACCGGAAGCTGAAGTCGAACCTCCGATCCAGGTTACTTGCTTGGAAGTCTGATTGCTTACCTTGTCTGTTACCTCCTTCGGCAAATCTCCTAACTCGACGACTTGGGAGACTCCTACTATAGGGTTTGTATCGCACTTGACCAAGCCCGAAACTACAAGTAAGCTTCAAGTGAAATTGATACATTACCTTGTGCATCTTCATCGATTAAAGATACCACCCCTGGATGAAGGAAAAGTACTTCCAGAGAAGATGCCACATTTACATATGAGACAGATAAGGCAAGTGAAAATGATACCACACTTCGGTACTTAGAAGTTTCGTGATTACTCAATGGCTTAGATTTTGCAAGTCCCCAACCGAGGAGCTTCCCTCACTCGGGAACTTAGGGTAACACTGTTTGTACCATACTTGACCAATCCCGAAACTACTAAGCACCGGTCAACGTTATACAGCCAAGGACCCAAAAGAGTTTCCCTTTAACCAGGAGGCCAATCACAGCGCGACACGTGTCGACATCAGAAGTCAATCATAGCGCGACACATGTCAACATCAAAAGCCAATCACAACACGACACGTGTCAATGTCAGAATGAAACTAGAAACTCCCTTCTATAAATAGAGATCATTCTCTCACAATATTGCCTAATGTCATTTGTACTAAATCATTCACTAGTACTCACTAAAGGAGAGCTTGAAACTATGTACTTGTGTAAACCCTTCACAATTAATGAGAACTCCTCTACTCCGTGGACGTAGCCAATCTGGGTGAATCACGTACATCTTGTGTTTGCTTCCCTGTCTTTATCCATTTACATACTTATCCACGCTAGTGATCGGAGCAATCTAGCAAAGGTCACAAACTTAACACTTTCTGTTGTACCAAAATCCTCACTGATTTTGTGCATCATCAAACTTCAAAACTTATACACTTGTCATCAAAGTGTACGGTTACTTGATCACTTTTACGCTGTGTTTGTTACGACATATTGTCTCGAACAAGACAAAACTTCAGGACTAAGTTGTATTGACTAGTTATGGACTACGTAATATAAAAATAATGAAGCGTTTAATGCATTGTCAGACTAAGCTATAAACTTTTGAGTCCCAATTTTTTTATTTTATTATATCATTTTTAGTTCACTTTTGCCTTAAAAATATAAAGAAACAAAATAAAGGAAAAAAGGGGGCAATTAGCCGCAATAAACATATTTTGACATTTTGTTACTGAAATAATTGGTGTTTATTAAGTCATCGATATATCATCGTTGTGTTGTCATTACATCATCATTGCGTCGTCAATGTATGATCAATTATCGTCGTTACTGAAAAATGATCATTTATGTAAACCTCTAATATGTTTATTATAGTTGTTTTCCCCAAAAAAAAATTCCCAGCAACCATATCCCTCATCGAATATCGTCTTTCTTGAGTGCTCCTGCTCATAGATCATTCTTGCTTCACAATCACTTAAAAAAAAATTGGTCAGGCACTTGATAAATTTTCTTTTCTTGTCAAATAATTCAAAAGATTTTGCAAGAGCCCACAGAAGCTATCTAATACCCAAATCTTGAACAGCAAGAGATCTCAACAAATATTTGATTGTACAGCTGATTGTGATGAAAACATAATACGTAGTTTTTTTTTTTTTTTTTTTTTATCAAAAATGCACAATAATCTCAAATTAGCCCTTAGTATGTGAGGTGCATGCTTGTGACTTTTTTACTATTCCAAAAATTCAAATCTACTATCAAACTTGTTAGCATGGCTACAATAAATGGATTATTTAATAAAATATGAAAATATGTTCGCACTTTATCAACGATGGGCACTTCTTCATGGTACGTTATGCATTGCTAGGACAAAGTTCAAACATGGCAAGATACTAATCAGCACATGTACATAAACTCTTTTAAAATCATGACTGAATACATACATCATGATATTTATGATCAATTAGTATAAACCCAATTCTCTAAAATTATGATAGAATGCCCGTGTGCTTTCATAAATTTTAGGGTAAATTACAAAGAACTACCTCAACTATTGGATCATTAACAATTTCATACCTCGTCTTTAAAAAGTTTCAATGCCATACCTCATCTTCGAATTTGTTACAATTTCATACATTCCGTCTGTTGTATAAAAAATAAAAAAAAAAAAAAAAAACAACCAGCGCCAACATCCCCCACCCTCCCCGGCCACTCATCCCACTCCCCCACTCTTCTCATCTCTATCCAGAAACAAACAAATTTTGAAAAAAAAAAACCCAGCCAAATTCCTCAGCACACCCGCCGCTCTTGATCAAAATCTTGGCTTCGACGACGTGCGGTCAAGGCGGGTCAGGAGAGGGAGAGTTTGGGGGTTTGCTTTTTAAGGTTTACAGAGGAGAGAGACGGGAGAGAAAGAGTGGGAGGTGGTTGCGAAGGAGAAGACAAGGGGGATCGGGTCGGGTTCAAGCCCGTGAGAGGTAGAGATTTGGTGGAACAGAGGGAGGGGGAGTCGAAGAGGTGGTAGGTTTTGGATTTGGGTTGTAGGGGTCGGGGTCCTCAAGGAAGATCATTGGGTTCTTTTTTTAAAGGTAAATTATTATTTTATTAATTTTTTAATAAAAAGTAGGTCCCGCCTCAAACCACTTCAGTATTTAACAGAGGAATTGATAGACAACTGACGAAAGGTATGATATTGCAACAAATTCGAAGATAAGGTATGACATTGAAACTTTTTAAAGACGAGGTATGAAACTGTTAATGACCTAATAATTGAGGTTATGTAATTTACCCTAAATTTTATAAAATCATGGTTAAACACTCCTGAATTTATAACTCTTTTAAAATCCTTCAAAAATCTCAATTTAACTCATCCCATTAAACTGTCAGGAATGGCGTCATCCTAATAACTATCTTGTAATATAGGGTTTGTGAAGAAGCAACAATGAAACAATATTGACAAATGCAGAGGAAGCAGAAGTCGAAAAGAAGAAGAGAAAAGATCTGACTTCATTAACCGCCAAAAGTGAATACAAAAGAACCGCCTAAAGTGAATACAAAAGATGCTATATATAGCTTTCAATTTTACTTCGTTTTTTTTTTTTTTTTTTTTGTCAAATGATAGATTTTGTTATATTAGTTATAGAAGGAGTTTGGACCCACGCCGTCATGCAAGGGCTCAACACCTTTCCATCGCTATGGTAAATAGCCACTTGCTAGCTTTCAATTTTACTTAGCTACTAAGCTATTACACTGCCTAATCTTTAAGCAACTAACATACAATTGACAAGTGGATCAAGCACACCTGTTATGTCTGTTATTACGTCCATGAACTCAAGACCTTGTGAAACCTAATTAAGCAGAGTCTGTTTTGTTGGCTCGATTGTCGCCGGCAGCGCAAAACACCATGACATTGCATGCAAATCGATAATCAGACATGTCCAGCACTTGAATGGTTTGTATTTATATTGAACTTGTATATGTCATTTCTAGGTTTTGGTTACAAGAATATTCATATTTTCGCTGAAATTGCAAAGTTTAACATTTTGTTTTGTAATTAATTAGGTTTTATTCCACAGCAGAAAATAGTGGCGATAAGAATATCATAATGATCATATATCTTGTGTTTATATAAATGAGTCACTTGTAAAAGGATGTGCTAACTAGTTTGTGGATTTACAACTTTATGCTGATGTTTTCCAACATAATTTATGGGGGACTGCTTGTTAGTTTAATTAACAAAGTCAACCATTGTTCTAAACTTCTAACTGAAGCACAAATTAAAGCAGCCTTTCTGTGATTAATATATAGTTTTTCATTGACAAATCAGTAGATTAATATATATACATATTCATATACAGTTGTTCATTGTGAAATCTACCATTTACATGAAGAAATTAAAACATAACGTCTTTTAATCTTGTCATCTAGCTAGGTTAGCCAGTAGTCATTGAAAAGCAGATTAATTAGATAGGTTAGGAGAAAATTGGGCTAAGAGCGAAGCCGTATCCGACCTTTATCACCACTTATAGGCCTTGTTTGGTATATATAATTAGACTGGGATCGATAAGATACTATTTAAGGTATGTTTAAAGAACAAATTAATTGTGATCAACTTGGAGGTACGAGATTGATTACTAAAGAAAAAAAAAACGTACGCATTCAAATCCTCCGGGAGGATTAAAAATGAGAAATTTCTTCATGTCTCCTCTCAAAATGAAAAATCATTCTTATCTACCTTCAATATGCCTTGAACTTAAAAGACTATCCATCCCAATTCGATCCTTTATACCAAACGAAATGATAGTTTGTCCTCCATGTGTATGCAAAACTAAAGAATAAGAGCAATATGTCATATATATGCTTTCAGGCGTCTTTTGGGTGGTTTAATTAATTTGGGGCTTGCATATGGTTCGTGACGCATATCAATGTATCATATGCTTTCAGGATGACAAGGTTTATTATAACCCAAAAAAGAAAGAAGGGGGAAAAAAAAAAGCAATCACAAACCCTTTTACTCAAAAGCTATAAAGATTGCCCTACCTCATGCATTATTTGTTATTTTTCCTTCTAAACTTGCCAACCTTTTCAATTTCATACGACTACAATTAGCAAGTAATTTGGAACCTCCTTGATTATAAGGGAGAAGCAATCCAGTATGGATTCCTTCCCACACCATGAATATAGAGCCACTGCAATGATAAAAAATAATATTTTAATATTTATACCTGCAATATGGCCTCTATCTTTTTCAAGTACTGAGGATATATTCCAGAGCTAGTGCCTTTGAGAAGTATATATCTTTTCCTGTATATATTAATGTGTGAATGTCTTTTTAGCATAAAAGATTAAAAAAATTAGGCATGGGGTTTGTTTAACTAATTAGTGCTTTCTTATTAAAGTCCCAGTTCATAATAAGATGCTCCAACTATATGAGTCTTTTTTATGTACTTTTAATAATAAAATATCTCCCTTATGGGGTTAGCTTTATGCATGGTTCTGGGTCTATATGTATAGGGTTATGATTCCCCTCAAAGGATCAACAATCCCTTAATTAACTGTGAAAAAAATTAGTGCATAATTATACAATACCCACTTTGAATAATCATTAAGTATGCATGTTAGTGCTGCACTTTATAGAGATTGAAACTTGTAGAGACATGTTTTTTTCAAGAAAAAATAAGAAACAATTTTAATTAATGCATTAATAAGAAACAATATGTGCATTTTGTATAGTATCGATCCGAATTATTAAAATAAACAAAACCAGCTTTTGAGCAGCAATTCGTTAATTCTATTATTCTATATGGGCCATGCTTCAGGCCTCTGAGATCGTGTCTCTGTATGTGTACATTTTCTTGGATATTTTGTTTTGTATAAATTATATGTAGTTTCATGCACATGCAAAGTACTTGAGATATTTACAAAGCAAAGACAAGCTTCAAATCTTTGTAAATTTGTCCAGACATTGCTTCAAACCGGCAGAGAAACGGAAATGCTGGAGAAAAGTGGTTTCGAAGTTCATAAACAATTACAGTTCACATGTATAATTAACCTTGAAGATGAGAAGTAGCCAAAAACAAATAGCAAGAAGACAAATTTCAAAATGTTCCGGCATGCAGTTGCAGATTGCGGACATATACAACATTTCACAGAGAATATCATCACACTATGTAAACATTGAATTTTGAAACAAAAATAAGTATATATAATTAATTAATTAAAGCTGATCTAGCTTCTTCTTTATTTAATTTATGTCTTTCTTACATATTTTTTGGTTAACATGTCTTTCTTACTTTGGTATATATAAATGTGCTAGCTATATATAAATTTACAATGACACATACCATGTATCTTGCTATTATATAGCCTATTAATCAAATGAGGGATTTGTTCTTTACTCACTTTCATTATTTACACTCCAATATTTGGTTGAACATATATACGTAGTAGAACATTTCTATAGTAATACTCTATATATGAATAATCTCTTTAAAGTCATAAAATTTTTGGTCCCAATTTGGGTCAATTATGTTTAGGAATAAACTCCATATAGTAATAAGTTATAATTTTTTTAGGTCTCGTAATAGGAAGCTTGCCTCCATATATAGTAATAATTATCAATGAGTATAAAAATATTTCATGTCACAAATAAAAGTTTAAAATGAACTAAGAAAAATTCTATAATTGTTTGAGACAATGTTTTATTTTTTAGAGTATAATGTCTCGCCTTTGAGCTTACGGGTACCTAATACCTCATCAACATGGACAAGTTCTTGGTGAAATTATAAGTTTCTAGCTTGTCTACATAGAAGCATTAAAGAGAGCACTACATAGATACAAGCACCAGATTAAAGATCGAGTGTCTTTCTTTATCCAAGTTACATCTCAGAAATTGACATGCTCGACTAGTAGTTCTTTGTATATGTACAATCTTCATTAACGATAACTAAGTAAAAAAATAATACCATTTAGGTACACCTTTATTAAGTAATAATCTCCCAAAATTTATACAATTGGTTTTGATTCAAACACTATGACTATATAAATATTTTATTGTATAATTAAAAATGGTTAAAATCATCGTATGAAAACCATATTATACCAGAATTATTACATAATTATTATGAATCGTTATTTTTTTAATTACAAGAATCAAGTACATAGAACCTAGTTAAGGCTCATTATTTTGGGTTAAGGAAAAATTGCGTACCAGGCATGAAAGCATTAAAGGGAATCAATGGACATGAAGAAGGAGGTTGATGATGATGTGGCCCTTGATGATCTGCAGCAGCTGATGAAGTAGAAGCAGTAATATTCGAAGCAGAAGCAGCAGCACTAATAAAATTGCTGGTTTGCTTATTCATTACATGCTGGGGGCTGGAGCTTTGGCCAGCTGCAGTAGTGTAATTAGGGCCTTGATCATTGAGTATACCTTTGAATACATGCCCTCCGATTACCACACTTGTCTGATAAGCGTGCTGATTGACCGTATCCTCCACGGAGCTCACTCGAACACACCGAAAAGTGGCCATGGAATTCACTTCTGCTGGAAAATTGTTAACCTGTTGATCTTGCCCTAAAATACACAACTCTTGTTATCAAAATGAAACATATATATTTATATTAAAATTGATGTTCATTTACTAAAAAGAATCAAGGAAAAATTATATCGATGTATTTTTCAGAAGAAAGTACAATATTCCTAAACAGTGGTATAGTACTAGTAAGAGTAAAGGGAAAGAACACTGTTAGGGTTAGTACATAGAGATCACATCCCTCAACCTCCTCAAGAAAAATCGTGATCTCTATATATAATTAAATGGTAAGTACCAGATGAAGAGGGATTGGTGATGACGTGTCCGGCTGCTGGCCTCTTAGGGTTGTAGCTGTGCCCTTGATGAAGGTGAGCTGGGTGCTGTGGATCAATAGAAGGAAGCTGTTGGTGATGAGTATGGCGCCTTCTGTAGACAGGAACCCAAGTACTCTTGACGTGAGTTTGGCAGTGAAATCCTTTGCTTTTACAGCAAGTCCTGCATCTCAAGTACGCACACTCCTTCTTAGCTTGATTCCCACAGTCTTGGCATCTGGAACCCATTATTTCTTCTTCTCTTCCTCCTCTTCCTTGCCTCACCATCTTAATTTCTTCATCTCTATCTTTATAATTAAGAGCTGTAACCCTTAATTATATATTAAAATCATTCCATGTGTAATTATGTTGATTTTCAATCGGTGTGTTTGGGGGTTCTGGGTTTAATTTGTGTTTATGGATTGGTCGTGTGAGGCCAGAAGCTTTTTTGCTTGTTAAGTGGTAGACAATTAGTGGGAATTGTTGTGAATAAAGAGTAGAATTGCACCATTAAAAGTATTGCAAGTTGACGCCGCCATCAATTCTAGCTTTGAAGGAAACTCTAGTTCTCACTTCCTCTTCACTGTCTTTTCAGCAGAGTCTTACCTGGCAGGTACAAGAATAAAAAGAGTAGGATTCTCTTCCCTCCTATTATCATTCATTTCTATCCCCTCCTCTCACACTTTTCTTTTTGTCTTATTCTCTATATAAAAAATTCAAAACAAGATGTACACGTGACGTAATCGTAATCATTTAAATAGGAGGGGATGAAATGAGAGAGAGATCGAGGAAATGTGGAAAAGGTGGGTGTTTTCTTTAAACTTTAAAGATAACGTTGTTGATAATGCAAAATCATGGTTGTTTTGGAAGTGTGTCTTTGTCTTGTTGTGAAATTAACAAAGGAGAACAAATTTATGCTCACCTTTCTTCACATTCTCATATCGTTTATTATTTTTGTTTCTTGACTTTCATTTACGATATTCAATTCAAATGTCAAAAATAACAAAAATGTGCATCAGGAGTAAAATGATGTAGGGGAACCATTTTCCTTAAAAAATTTAGCTTCATCTACGTTTGGTTCACTAACAATATTATATAATTTTTAACTAATATATGCTTAAGGAAATGTTCTTTTATCCGACAACATGAGTTCTTATGTTTTCATATTGTGGATCCAAATAATTGTTCATGTTAATCCTGACCTAAATGATGCTTATTTTATTTTATTTAGTTTTTGGGTAAACAAATGTGTGATGTTTAGATTCATCGTAAACGATAGTATTTGTCTAGCGATGTAAGTCCAACAAAAATATATTATTCTCAATTTTATCGAAGTTAGAGGTTTATGACGACAATGAACTTGAAGACTATGCTAGAGTTGCTCTAATGAGGGCTAATATTTTGATTTTTTTTAGAAAGAAACGATATTTGATTAGAAAAACTTTGAACATATAAGACTTCTACAGAGATCAAAGAAAACCCACATCACAACATACAAGCAAGACAAAGCCAATCTCATACAAACCACAATAACCAAAACTCTAATGTAACCTATAACCCTAAATTTTGACTACAACCACGAATCAAAACCACATCAATTACTTATTAGAACGCTTGTCCATATCTAACTAATTATATGAAATTTAAATTTGTATATCGAGTTAATTTTCCATTTAGATCCATACGTTTTAGAACTCTAGAACTCTATCATATATATTTGATGTTGAAAAGCGACTTGACAATGTGAAGTTGTCAACTGTAGATATGAATAATTGATTGTATTAGCTCTTGCAATGTAATACAAGAAGGCTATACAGAATAGAAACCCAACACATTTTTTTCCTTCTAATTGTAATTCATATGTAAATTTAACTCACAACCCGTAAGCCAATCAAGTTCCACTCTGACAGTAAACATAGGATGCTTACGTCGCTAGGTTGTATGATAAGGAGGCACTCCTTGCACTACATGTATAACACACGCACATATTTCTTTCCTTTTCACCTTTTGCTTTTAGCCAAAGCATCAAGGAATGCAGTTTCTGATGTCAATCAATTTAATATAAACAGTACTAAAAAGTAAATACTGCTACAGCTAACTTGCCTAGAGCCACAAAATTTCTCATTCATCGAAGGTACTATATATATACAACCATACACAGCGTACAAGTCTTTCAGCTTTTACATATATTCGTCCTTGCGCCCGGAAACTCGCATTGATTTGTGGCCCTTCTTCCTCTTTAACTTCATTAGGAAAAAAGAAACTGCAGTAATATTTTTAACTCTTTGCATTTCTGTTTTGTCTTGATTTATCATGCATCTTCATCTAAAAGTTTGCAATGATTCATTGTTTTACGTACATGCCTTCCTCTCGTGGTCTTATGGCCGATTTGTTATAGGGGCCGGGTAGATGATCATGGGGTGTCAGGTGTTTCTGGACTTTGCTCAGTGCATTATATGAACAGTAAGTACCAGCAGAAAGAGCTTCCACCAAGTACTGTTAACACACCACTCGGTCCAAAACATAATCCTTTCGTATTTGGGTAATACTAGGGAGACCAAGTTTGCAAACCCAATGATGTGGTTGTAGATGATTTGATAATTAACTAAGTGTCGAGCAACGTGTTGTTTTTTATTAGTGACATATCATTTGATTTAAAAATTTGATCTCACTAGTATTACCTTCGTATTTTATTCTCACTTAATATTTAACCTATTGCAATGAGATACTTAAGTTGTCACATTGTGATTATTTTTTTTTTCATTAATTCACTTAATTTTTTTACTTAATGCGTAAATCAAATTCACATAATAATTTGACAATATAATCTCACAAAAAAAAAAATTGTAATGCATATATTTAAGTAAGAGATCTCTTCCAATTAGGGATGAAAACGAGGTCCAATAAGAGTGCAGGTAAGCACAAGCTGCTCAACCCAATGGTACAGCTTAAAGCATATAACGGCATTAATTCCTTTTTTTCACAAGCATTATCCAATCACATAAGTCAATCTACAACTCTCCAAATTAATTCATTACAAAATACTCTAAGGGCACGTTTAATACATAAGATAGATTTGGCGTAGACTAATTACACGGATTGAGAAAGGTGTAATCCCAACTTGTCCAATTGTTAACTAACCCCATATTTGATTCAAGTTAGAAATGGGGTTAAATAGCCTAATCAAGTAGATAATTGATGTGCGTTTGGCTGCCGCTACTTAAACTCTCCTGGCAACCCGATTTTATTTGGTTTATTGTTGTCACCCCGTATGTCCTAAGATAGAAAAACTTGAGTGAGGCAGTCTGATTCCACTTACTCGATAATCTCAACTTACTCTCACACACCAACATCTTTGTATTTTGGTTCGTCCAACTTCACATTGTTCTCATTTGTAGCAACGTGATTATGGGAACATAAAATATCCTGACCAATAGGAATATGCACACCATTAGTCAAACCCTAACGGGCTAACGGGCCACATTCTCTATGAATGTCCTAGAAGCTCACAATCAACAGGCCCCATGGCCCAATTCGTCGCCAACGGTTCAAGCCAATCGTCACGCGACCTATGCACATCGTGCTGATATGTAATGAGCTTGCCTATCAATCTCTTAGCATGACAAGACTCTCCAAGCCATATTCCAAGAGTCTCTGAGAAATATTCCTCCATCGGGGTTCATACTAGGTCACACGCTAGAGTTAACTCCTCAGTTCTCTATAAATAACCAAGATCAGCCACTTTATTCCTGTAATCAAGAACTCTCCCAACACTCTTATTATTTCCTACAATCTTTTTAACTTAGGCATCAAAGACCCTTTGGCTGATATCATACCGATATTAATCTAACTCCATTTGGCTATTCTTTTTGTGTGTAGGTTTTCATCAATTTAATGTGAGGCGAATTTACTTCCATGATGATAGCTTGTTATTAGGTGGTCATACAAATCTAGACCCCTGTACTCAAAACAAATTGCGATTGTTGATTTACTGCTCTAAAGAACGCTTTGCCGTTGAAAAAAAAATTGATGGCTGATGGCATTGCTTCTAGTAAGTGACAAAAATGAATTAAAATTTTAGTGGCAGTAGGACATAATTATGTGATGATAGAATTGGCCAACTTTCAGCGCCGAATGGTGTCATTTCATGCAATTTGAGTAGGCTCGACCTTCAAAAGTGACACAAAGTAAAAGCAGAAAATATGTGAAACAGATAAAAGTAAATACAGTAAAGTAGGAGCAGAAGATGGGTTAGGCAGACATGAGCACGACACGACACAAGTTTATGGCTCATTTAGCACATGCCACAACTGAATACAACTAGTCAGATTACGTAGCAAGCTAAGCATGCACAAAGAGGAGGGAGAACATTTGTTTAAGCCGGTTAAATATTAGGGACTTGGATTGTCTGCCCTCCTAGTTATGGTGCCCTTCCATACCCTCCTATTTTATGAGGTCACGGTTAAGCCACGTTAATATTTTATATTAATTTTTTAATAAGATAATAAGACAAAAAATAATAAAAATATAAAATATTGACGTGGCTTAATCGTGACCGCACAAAATAGGAGGGCATGGAAGGGCACCACAACTAGGAGGGCAGACAATCCTTGTCCAAATATTAGAGAGACTGTTAGTGTCTAACATTTATATGATCATCCTCAACTTAATCACTTGCTAGTCTAGCAACTGTAGGATTTTATTTCAAAATGTCTCTAGATAATTAACGATAAAACATTTATAATGTGTTTTATCGATGTGAGACTTCAAGCAAATTAAGATGACCTTTTATTTCAATAAAAGAAATGCATCGGTTGGTTAGGGAGGAGTTATTGTCTATCGACTATCGTTGGCCTCTATAGTAGAATCAGTCAGAGGCCTTAGAGGAGGTAATTTACTTTACGACAGATGTCAATGGTTCGAGTCTGCTTATACCCAATTGCATTATCATGAATTCAAGCACAAAAGCCCATCCTCTGAAAACTAGATGTAATGTAAGGGCATAGTTGGGTAGCGAATGAGCAACAGTACAGCCTCCGGGATTGATCATAAATAAGCATCCTTCAAAAGCCCAACAAGATCCACTGGTCTTGGAAGAAGTATTAGTATTGGATTTCATGAAAAAACAAAAAAAAATTGCCAGGAAAATTGTCCAAAAGGATAAACCGGAAAAAAAAAAAAAAAAAAAAAAAAAAAAAAAACTGGTGGCGGTGTTGATTCCAGCGATATCTTAATTTATTTTACTACGAAATAAAGTGGCACATAATCTATTTTAATTCGAAATAAGGAATTTGAACTTCGATGCAGAGGAGGAGGAACAGAATACTCTTTAAGTCCTTGTTTGGATACACCCCAGTTTTGCAGTGGAATGGTTGTGATTTATTAACTATTACCACACAAATACATTAGATAATGTTCGTATCTCAACTGCTGATCAAATCTCTCCAGTTTCATCAAGGCATCAGCGCAACAATATAAGGCCTACGTGTGAAGTAGGTACTGCTTATGCTTTCCTTTAACACTTGGATTTCCTTATACTGTTATATGCACATGGACATGGAAGCGGAAAAACTCGTCTCGCTGAGTGCTAAGTAGCATTGAAGCCGTACCCCAACTATAGATGTTTGTAGAACCAGTGTATTTCCAAAACCAGTACTAGTAGCCTAGCAGCAAAGCAAACAAATTGCAAAGAGCAATTGAGAAAATGGTTGTGCCAATCCCTCCTCTATACTCAACAGATTCACCAATATCATCTCAAGTATTCTTCAAGCAGCACTATCCTTTCTTATCAATTCTAAAACCAAAGAATCAAAATTCAAGATCTTAATCACAAATCATAAGAGTAAAGTCGAGGATCGAAAATTCTATAGTGCTCCGGAGTATTAGACTGATCAAAAGTAAACCAGTTCGGGAAACAAAAAAAAAAAAAAAAAAAAACAAAGAATGACAAAGCAAATAGACAAAGAAGCAATGTAGAACAAATAAACAATCACGTCATCAACTACATATATTAGATTCTAAAAAGATGATGAAACATCATAAGTCAGACAGAGACACAAAATGAACATAAAACCGAACCCCCATGTTTACCTAATTAACATAAGACTTGGTCCACCCAACTACAAATTTATATTTTAATTACATCTAAACCCAGTTGTAAAAAGATACCCAAATCTCCAAATATCCATTCTTTGTCAGTAAATATGCTTCAATCCCAGGCCATGCTTCCCACGAATGCAGCCAGCCCTCGCAACCATGTACGGCGACCGCTTCGATTTGTTCATCTTCGGTAACATCCTCTTCCCCAATTTCCTCATCCTCTGCCGCCCCAACTTGTCGCTCACTGACAACGGCACCAGCTCGTCGTCTAATCCATACCCATCATCATCCTCCTCCTCCTCCTCCTCCTCCTCACCATGGCCCTCATCCTCATTGCCGCTGTCGTCCCAATGGCTATGGAGTTTGAGATTGAGACCCACATCCACAAATCGGACGAGACGGGGGCGGCGATGACGGTGGGCGGGGATCGGATCGGCCACCGGCGGAGGGACCGAAGGGGAAAATGAAGCGGGCCCAATGATAAGCCTATCAAACCGATTTGCTTCTTCGTCTTTATCGGTTTGTTCGGAGTCGGAGCGGTGGTGGTGGTGGTGGTTTTGCTCTGAGTCGGCATCGGAGGCGTCGATGAATTCCCAGTGTGTGAGACCCAAGAGTTCTTCTCCGTCTTCGATTTCCAGGAATTCGAATTGTTCGTCCATGGAGTTTGCACTCGAAAGTTTTCCCAAATCCATTTCCGTCTTGTTCTTTTCTTTTCCTTTTTTGTTATGAACTTTGGAATGGATTATGTGGGATTGGATCAGTGAGTTGGGCTTTTATATACAAAAGGCTGAGCTGTCGGGGGAATCTGAGGTCCACGTAGAGAATGATGTGTCCGCGCGTACAAGTCATCTCGTCTTTTTGGTGCAGCCTTCATCGACAAGTTTTATCCCATGCAGCCTTCATCGACAAGTTTTTTTTAGAGAGCCTCAATTGTTTTCTTTTTTTGTTGTTTTCCTCGTGATGCCTGTCGAGCTACGTTTCTTTGTAAAATTGTACCATGCAACTTTTGTTCCTGATATTTACGTTGAATTTTGGATTTTCATTTTTTGGCTAACCCTTGCATTGTCCTGTGGTGTTTTTTTTAGTAATGCACCTTATTCCGACAAAAGAAAAGATACTTAGTCTCTAAACTTATCCATACATATAAAATGGTCATTTTTAGGGTTGGGTTCGGTTTTTTCCTAAAACCGAAACCGAACCGAAATTTCGGTTCGGTTCAGTTCAACTTTTTTCGATTTTTTTCTCGATTCGGCGTGATCTGCGATTCCGTTGAGTGGTTCGAAATCGTATCCAGCTTGGATTTCATTGAATGGTTCGATATGCATTGTACTCTGCGATTCTGTTGAGTGGTCTGGAATCGCATCCATTCAAATTCCGTTGAGAGGTCCAGAATCCCTTCTACTCCGCTATTCCATTGAGTGGTCCGGAATCATATGCTGGTTTGGATTCCATTGAGTAGTCCAAAATCCCCTTTGGTGTCTTGGTTTTGTGGATGCAAATTTTCTCCTTCTCCTTCTTTGACAAAATTGCACCTACAAAACGATTAACACATTTGGTCAAGGCCAAGAGTCTCACGCGCCCACGATGAATGGGGGGGCTTTGGCCGAAGAACCTCTGATGTCAAAGTTAGAAATTAAAGAGAAAAAGTGTTTAGAGAATTTTTGGGCGTTTTGCAGAGTTTGAACCCCTCCCTTTGTTGAAAATGGGAGCCTCTTTATAGGGTTTGGCCGGTCCACTTTTTAGAGAAAGTGGCCGGCCATTAAGTGGGTTTTGTGGTTGAACTTTAGGTTTAATTAGCCAATTTATTATGATTAATTGGCTAATTAAACATAAAGGGAATAAATGGATGGTTACAGAATCAATTAGCTAGCTTAATTGGGGTAGTAAAGTGGGAAAAGATAGGAAAGGTAAAAAGCTAAGGGGATGGCCGGTTTTGACTAGTTTTTAGGGTTAATTTTGGGAGTTATGTGACTAATTGGCTAATTAATTTAGCAAAATAGAATTATTGCTAAATTAGTTAGCTAATTAGTGTGATGAAATGGGTAAATATGAGGAGACAAACTGATTCCTGTTTTAGCAATAGATGGCCGGCCCTTTAGCACATATTTGGAGATATTTCGTGGTCAATTGAGTGACTTAATTGGTATTTGAATTGTTACCTTTTTGGAGCATTTTTTACTTGGTTGATGATGATTGCCCGCTACTTGCGCGTAGGAATCCCGGTATGACCCAAGGGTAGTTTTGTCCTCTTTTATCAAAGATCCACGTGTCGCCTTGTGATTATTTTTTGCTCCACAAATGCCCCCACACCTGCTGGGCTGCTCGTAGGAAAGGGCAGCGGGTGTAGAGATCTTCTTGCTCTAGGAAACTTTGGACTGCTTCCTATTTTGATGTAGATTCCCTCTTTAACATGAAATTAGATCCTTCTAAGAAAGGGAAATAAATTCTTCTCAAAGTCTATTTAAGTCCACCTTAAGTGGGTTGTTAAATCAACTTCGGAGAATGATTTATTCTACCCTACAAGAGAGAGAAAGCTTAGAGGATATTTATTCCCCCTCCTCTAGCAATCTTCTACATCTTGTTCGTGCAAAGGATCGTCTTTCATTGCTTTCTTTGTCTTCTCTATGCCGCACCAATGTAATAAAAACTTAATTTCTTCTTATCTTTTTCATAGGTGGTGCTGCCACGAGGCAGTCGTCGGGGTGGTGCGGCACGTCGGCTGGCAGGGGCTAGGAGTCGACTTGGCATGGGCCAAGGAGGTGATGTGGCAAGGGCCATTGCTTGAGCAGCTCGGCTTGATTGAAGCCAAGGATTGGTTCGGTACGAGTCGAGGAAGCGGCATGGAATGAGCAATTGTTTGGGTTGCCAAGTCCGGGCTGCCTGTTGAGAATGAGGAAACTGCTTGAGTTTGATTTTTCAACTGCCATAGATGTGTGGAAATATGCCCTGAAAGTCAATCTTTGGAATAAACCTTTCAGGACAATAAATGGATGTAGAAATGACTCTTATACATCAAATGGAAAAGATACTATTTAGGACTATCTCTATAAACGATATATGTCCTAAATAATGAATCCATGGACAATGGATCGATGGAAAAAGTAATCTAATGATATTAGACTACAGAGACCTTCTTCACATAACCATCATGTCCAAAAAGGTTCCTGGTCATATGATTGTCAGAGGGACACTGACAATGCAAAGACCAGTACATACTATGTTTCCTTCAATTGGAAGGATGGAAAGTCTCATCCCATTCGTGTAGTGACACTAAGACAGGTATGTAGGTGCTCATTAAGGGAATGAGTTCACTGAACACAATCGAACGAGAGTACTTGCATGGAGGTCTACTCACATGTCAAGCAAGTAACTCTAATGGTTGGAATAATGTAAGTAATCCTTTGACCTGAGGCATCGTAGTTGTCTTGTGGTTAGGTCCTTAATCTTTGATTATGTCAAAGTCACTTCATTCGCGGGTGTCCACGACATAGTTGGGGTTAAGCCACTTAGCCATGGAGGCAAGTAAATGCGCAACAAGGGATCTCTAATCCTCGTTATGAGAGGAAGAATACTCTAAGATATGATTCGGGAATCTTCAGCCGAAGTATCGAGCGTAATAAAGGAAAGCGTTCCTATACGACTCAATTGAATCATATAACATGGAATAATCACATTAGGGGTTTGACATAATATATCCATACCCTAATAATGTGATTAAGAGTATTGTATTAGAGAATGATCGAATTACATTGTAATTCCAACTGAATAGGTTCTCCGAACAAATTCTACATTAGCTTGGGTAGCCATGATATATGGTTAGATGTCACTCATGGCTTGTGAGTTCTTCTAGATGATTAAATGTAGTCGTGAAAGAAGAAGGTGAATTAAAAGTAAGTTTTAATTCACTAAGTGATTGGATTAAATATAATCAATTGGATTGGTGCCAATCACCTCACTGCCTTGCTAATTAGAACCTAAAATGATTGTACACCGATACACTCTTGTAGTGAGTAACTAATGGATGATGGAAATAATTAATTGGATTAATTAAGTGTTGTGATTAATTAGAAAGTCTAAAGAAATCATAAAAGCGATAAAAGATCGTTTTGGGCTTAAAGAAAAGTTCGGGTTAATATGGGCCCATTAAGCCCAAACCCATTGGGCTTTTATTTAAGCATAGGATGACTTGAAATAATAAAAGCCCAAAGCCCAAACAACACTAAAGGGGCCGGCCAAATAAAGGGAAAGGGAGAGAGAGAGAAGTCAAGTTGTTGACTTGTTTCTTTGTATTTATAAAAGGAACTTTATAGTGAAAATTCATTAGGGTTTTGTGTGTTGTTTTTCACAAAAGGAAGAAAACATCTCTCTCTCTAAAACCACACAAGGCCGGCCACCATAAGGGAGATTTAGCTAATCATCTTCTCTCCCTTTTGGTTATTCCTCCATCCATCTCACTACACTAGTGGGTGTGGATCTTTAGAGGTCTTCTACTTTGGAGACTAAAGGAGAACCAAGGAGCACTCATTCTAAACAAAGTGGAGGAGGCAAGGAAGGAGGCTAGGCTCAAGGAGTTCAAGGAGCAAAGGGCTTGGAGGTGGTCCATCCTTGGTCTAAGATCTAGATCAAGAGGTATAAAACTACTCCTAAGCTTTGTTCTTCACTAAAATGTTTTGATGCATCTTATATAAACCTATGCATCTTGAAGGGGATTTGCATGACTATAGCCTTGATATTATGTGATAACATGCTTCTGTTGCTTTCATATATAAATCTTGAATTGTATATGCATGCTAGTCACTAGAAATCCCACATAAATCTCATATTTTCCCTTCAAGTGGTATCAAGAGCCAAAGGTTTATATTTGATGTGTCCTTTTGGATTTTATGCATATGGGTTTTAATTTTATGTTTGACATATTATTTCTTCATTCAAAGTATGTTTATCTTTTGTTTTTCAAATGTTGAAAAATGTGAATCAAGAGTTGAAAAAGATATGCATGCAAAAAGTGTTTTGGATGCATGAATGAAGATTGAGTTTTGGAACAAAATTTGGGGCTAAAGTTCCATAGGGGAGGGCACGGTTTTGGGGGTGGTTTTTTGGCTTGTGTTTGTGTTTTATTGTAAGCCACTCACACATCCTTTTAAAGCTAGAAAGTAGAGATCTTGTCACTTTTGCTTTTGGGTTTGAAACATCACCAAGAATATACAAATCTTGAAATTATGTTCATGGTTTTGTTCTTTGTGTTCATGGTTTTGGTTTTGGTGAAAATGGTTTTATTTGATGTTTAAATAATGTTTTATGGTTTTGGATGATATACATATCATCCATAGCCTTCCCAAAAGTTTAATAAAACCTAGACTTGACTAGGTGAATTTCCATCACCCTTTTCTTAAAGTCCTTAAAGCTTAAGTTAAGTGACAAGTAAAATTTGGATTTTTTTTCTACTTTGTATTGATTCAATGCAATGTGTAAGAAACCTCCCATCCTCCTTAATGCGGCCGGCCTCCCTAGTGGATTTATCCACTTGTGGGGTTATTTTGTAATCTTTGAAAAGTTGATAATTACTTTCAAGTATTTACGGTTTGATCCCTAACTTTTTGTATTTGCATTTAGGCCCCTACTAACTAGAAAGTTAAAATATTTGATTTTAATTTTGTTAGTTGTTTAAACTCATAATACTATTATGCCCATATGCACTAAATCTAAATGTTTATGTTGCATTCCATATGATTATTTAATGTGATTAAGTAGTTAGAAAAA